TTGAGGGCCAGGTTGCGCATGAACAAGAAGGCGATGCTGCTGCCCTGATGGGCACTTTGTCCTACTATCGTGCCCTTGGCGACGTGTTCCACGAGCCAGTGACGCAGGTACATCAAGCTGTAAATATCGTGATCGCCCTCTTTGTAGCGGCCGATGAGCAGCCACTTCAAGAGGGCTAGGACTCCGACACGCACGAATTGCTCCACAAATAGCAAGGCCAACAGAACAGGGAAGGAGATCCACAATGGCATGCAGAAGGACAGTGGCAGCAGCAGCCGCTCAGCCACGACCAAACGCGCTGCCACAACCACAGGCTGGGCCTTTCAGGTCAAGTAAAGAAACCCAACTCGAGATCTTTGCAGCAAGGTCTGGACGGGACAAAATTCTATGCTTGTAAATGCTTGCAAGCAGCAAGAATCGCAGCACCCTGAACCACGGCACAAAGCGCTGGCCAGGAGTTCGGCCCAAAGGATTTCTCTTGCTCCTCGCTGTGACCCAGGACATAGCCAGCCCTAAGTTGGTGGAGCTTACTGTTGCATGGCGGGTCAGTCTCACCTAAGGCGAAGCTGGTGTGTCGTGCAACATCACCATCAGAGACTGAATCTTCGAATGTCTGGAGCAGCAAGCAGCCACACGCCGAAACGCAAACTTCGAGGCGACCCGGAGGGGTCAGCAGGCACGTGGTGCTCCGGAACATGCGGGGGGAGGGGGTCGAAATGCAGGCTGCAAGAAGAAATCCTCCAAGGCTTTGTTGTCAGGCTCACATGGCAAACAACATGGTGCAACTAAGGCTGCGTCAAAGAGGACGTGAGAGAGAACGAGGACCCGAGTGGCTTCCAAGCTCTCGCCGATGCTGCGCTCATGGCCGAGCTGCCCCTCCGGAGGTCGATTGCTTCCATTCTGGGCAACGCAGTGGCCCAGGCCACGCCGACGTGCAAGAGCCGGAGATGACTGGGAGCCCAATGGAAGGGCGGCAACTGCCCAGTCAGCTCCTGCCAGAGATGTCTGTGGCGTCTACGAGTCGGCAGCTAGTGCTGATGCTTTGGAGCGGGGGCGTCCTGCACGCAAACGGCTGAGAGCTGCTGCGGCCGTGCGTGCCCGTTCTCCTGGGACCAGGTGGCCGTGAGGGTCTCGAGGTCGCTGGGCTCGCAGGCCAAGATGTTCGCGCGACTCACACACAGCTTCTGCAAGAGCTCAGGGCTTGGGCTCAGGAACGTGGCCCCAGCATGTAGCGAGCTGAGGAGTGCCGCAAGGCCACCGACACTGCCGGCTTGAAGGCATGAGAGCACCCTGCCAGTGTGGTCCATATGGAGCTCCTGACAAGCGCGCAAGAGCTTGGGTCTCGTTTAAAGGAGATAAGGAGATGGCACACATCAAGACTCCTGCTGCCATCCCAAGACCGCCTGCAGTAGCGCTTCCCCTGACGTCGGTTCCGCTCGCAGCCCGTCGCCTTGTAGCGACAGAGTGTTCGCACGCGCTGTGCATGCATCCCTAGGCATCTTATGCGTCAAGCCGTATCAAGCTGCCAAGGTGCTCCCTGCGAAAGCGATGCAGCAAGGGCCGGAACCTTTTCGGGACCGTCGTCGCCCGGCAGGTGCCGCCGAGGCACTTACGTCCAGCACCGTACAGCCGACCTGGGTGTGACCAGAAGCTACCAACACAAGGCGCTGCAACAAATGCCTTAAGTCAAAAGGCTGTAAGGAAAGGAAACCGACATGCGTGCGAATTGCAAGCCTGGCTGCTTCCGAGGCCAGCAGCCTGCAGTGGCCCTCCAGCCGCATCCACGTTGCATGGTCGGCTTTTGTGGCTAGCAGCAGACCCGGCTTTGTCAAGCGGAGCTGCTCCATGATGGTGCTGCCGCTGCTGCGTGGGTCCATCAGGCAAAATGTGCAGCCCTCTCTGAGCACAGCAAGTACGGCTGCCATTCTCTCTGGCACGTCCAAGCAGATGGCCACGCATCTCCCCCTCACTGCCTCCTGCATCTTCAAGTTCTGATGCAGCAGCTGCTGGTAAGAAGCGGCCAGCTTGAAAAGCTGAAGGTAGGTGACGCTATGGCAGCCAGCCTCTGCGCAGACCGCATGGGGTGTGGCCTCGAGATGGGACATGACACCCTGTAAAAGGGCATCGGAATCAGGGAGGCCACTGTCCTCTTCGTCTTCGGAGTCGGAGTCCATGCTGGACAGAGCCAGTGCGGAGGCCAGCGATCGTACTGTAGGATGGTCGAAGAGCATCTGAAGGTCAACCTGCCGCAGCGAAGGCCGCATTCGCATCTGAGAAATAAGGCGTCCAAAGCCGCCCGAGTCCACCCCAAGCTCTTCCATGAAGTGGGAGTTGCAATCCCACCTGTCCAGATTCTGGCCCAACTGCGGAGCCAAGCAGGCTGCAATCTCTTGCTCAAGCTCAGAGGCGCCCTCTTTCACGAATGCATCCCAGGCATCTTTCTTCTGCTCTTCGCAGCTAGCATCATCCAGCGGCACAGCATTGCGCAAGAGCTTACCAGAAGTGTTGAACTTCCACGCATCGTTCTCCACGATCTTCGCCTTGGCTTGCACACGATTGAATGCCCCGTCGACGTTTTGGATTTAGATGGATTTAGGATTTACGATGATACTTCGGGCTGGGCAGACGCACTTTTCTCGGGGCACCTGGCTGAGAACGTAGCCACGGCCCAGGGCAGCCGCGGTCGCTTTCAGCTCCGCTTCCGAGAGCTCTGCAGCACCCGAGGCCAGCAACACCTCCCAGTTCAAGACGCAGCTACGCGATGCCACGCGACTAACTACGCGT